TGAGCCACCCAGGAGCCCCTTTATCCGTTCTTATAAACCATCATTTTCCCCTCTCTCTTTCTCTCTCTCTCTGGCACTGTTGAAGAGCCAAAATAATGGACGTATGCATGTTCTGTGTAGAAGCTATGCCTGAACGAATCACAATTAATCTAAACCCACCACTGAATCTGCAGCAGACATGGTGCCAGATGTGGGGGTGACAACATGGGGGAGGGGCAAAGACACCCCAGCCTCTGCCCCGCAGCACTTACAGTCGTGGTGAGAGGCATCCAAATAACCCAGCAATTGAAATAATGTGCTTAGTGTCACAGGGGGGGCTAGAAAGTGCCACACAGCAGGGGCCAGTCATCTGACCTGCCTGCTGCACCTTTCTGAGTAGCTAGGAGGATAGGGATTAGCAGTTAAAAAGACAAAGGAGATGCCATACCTGCCCCCCACCCAGGTGGTCTCCATAGGCCCCAGGTGACAGTCACTTTAGATGAAAGAAATTCCGGAGGGGTGAAAATGAGGGGCGGGGTGGGCGGGTAGAAGTGGCGACCCAAGAACCAGCCCAGCTTGCCTGACCGAGGAGAACACAGCCTTCCGGCGAATCCCCACAGGTCGGCTGCCCTAAGGGGCTGAGGCCCTGTTATAAGGGCTGCTTCTTAACCAGGTTAAGGGTTTTGAATTTTACCTTCAGGATGATAGTGATCAATTAGAGTTTTCCATGGGGAGATAACAGGTTCGTATTTACTTGGCTCAAGGTTCTGGTGTTATAGAGTCTGTATATAAGTTGAAGGGGGCAGGCGGGGGCCGTGTGGCAAGGCTGGAGCAGACCAGACAAGCTGGGAGACAGCTGGCAATATTATAGGGTGGTGGTGCCTTAAATCGGATGGAATCGGAATATTGACGATGGGGGCACAGCCACGATAGACTTGAGAATGACTTAGAATGTAAGATCAGCAGGATTTAGCAGCTGATGTGCTGAGGTCTTTGGGCGGGCTGCGCTCTTATTTTCTTTCTTTCTTTCTTCTTTCATAGATTATTGTCAAGTTGGTTTCCATATAACACCCAGTGCTCATCCCCACAAGTGCCCTCCTCCGTGCCCATCACCCCTCTTCCCCTTCCCCCACCCCCATCAGCCCTCAGTTTGTTCTCAGCCTTTAAGAGTCCCTCATGGTTTGCCTCCCTCCCACTCCCCAGCTACTTTTCCCCTTTTCCTCCCCCATGGCCCTCTGTTAAGTTCCTCCTGATCCACTTATAACTGAAAACATGTGGTATCTGTCCTTCTCTGCCTGACTTATTTCACTCAGCGTACCACCCTCAAGTTCCATCCATGTTGCTACACATGGCCAGACTTCATTCTTTCTCATTGCCAGGTAGTATTCCATAGTGTAGATAAACCACATCTTCTTGAGCCATTCATCAGTTGATGGACACTTAGGCTCTTTCCATGATTTGGCTATTGTTTTTTTTTAAATTAATTTTTATTTATTTCTGAGAGAGAGAGACGGCATGAACAAGGGACGGTCAGAGAGACAGGGAGACACAGAATCTGAAACAGGCTCCAGGCTCTGAGCTGTCAGCACAGAGTCCAATGCGGGGCTCAAACCCACAAACTTGAGATCATGACCTGAGCCAAAGTTGGACGCTTAACCGACTGAGCCACCCAGGCGCCCCTGATTCAGCTATTGTGGAGAGTGCTGCTATGAACATTGGGGTACATGTGCTCCTATGCATCAGCACTCCTGTATCTCTTGGGTAAATTCCTAGCAGTGCTATTGCTGGGCCATAGGGGAGTTCTAGTGTTAGTTTTTTGAGGAACCTCCACACTGTTTTCCAGAAGGGAATCAAGAACAAAAATGAACTACTGGGACCTCATCAAGATAAAAAAATTTCTGCATGGCAAGGGAAACAATCAATAAAACTAATCTGCAACTGACCGAATGGGAAAAGATAGTTGCAAATGACATATCAGATAAAGGGCTAGTATCCAAAATTTGTAAGAAACTCACCAAACTCCACACCTCAAAAACAAATAAGAGGAAATGCGCTCTTATTTCCTGGACAGGACATGGGGCTGTAAGAGCGGCAGTCTGGGGTGGCCTGGGGACGAGGCCAGGGGCCTGAGAGAAATCCACGTGGTCACCTGCAGGAGGCAGTCTGCTATCTGGATCTGCAATTTAGGAAAGAAGATCAGGATGGAGAAGAAATTGGGGACAATGGAACCTGAAAAACTCTAACTGAAGTGAGGCGCCTGGGTGGCTCAGTTGGTTGAGCGTTCAACTTCAGCTCAGGTCGTGATCTCATGGTTAATGGGTTTGTGTCGCACATCAGGGTCTGTGCTGACAGCTCAGAGCCTAGAGCCTGCTTTGGATTCTGTGTCTCCCTCTCTCTCTGCCCCTCCCCAGCTCGTGCTCTGTCTCTCTCTCCCTCTCAAAAATAAATAAACAGTAAAAAGAAAAGCTAACTGAAGTCACTGGAAGAGATACGAATGTCCAAGGATGGAGAAGAAGTTCAAGCCAGGGCCCCAACAAAAATGACATGAATTAAAAACAAAATTATAAAAAACTTTTAGAAAAGTTTCAAACAATTCCGTTTAGAATTACTTAGAAATATTTAATGAAATGGTCTTTCATGACTTTGTGTTTTAACAGACACATGTAATTCTGTCAGTGTGGGTGGACGTGTGGGGAGAGGGGTCAAGGTTTGATAAGATGTCTTCTGGATAGCCTTCGGGTCACACACTTTGTCACTAAGGGTGTGTCCTCTGCTTACAGAAGGCCCAGCGCCAGAAGGGAAACCCTGAGGAGACTGAGGCCTCAGAGTACAGCCAGCAGGCTGCCCTCAGCTGCCCTGGTCAGGGGTGTCATCCGCCAGAGGTGACGTGGCTGGTCCTGGTCCCCTGATTGCCACCACCCAGGGCCCTCACTCAGACATGTGCTTCTGGTAACACCACTGTCTCTTAGAATTAGAAGGTGTCCCGGTGCCTGAACAAGCCTAAGGGCCTCATTTTACTTTAAAAGTGCAGTATTTTTGTGGGGGCGCCTGGGTGACTCAGTCAGTTAAGTGACTTCAGCTCAGGTCATGATCTCCCGGTTCATGGGTTCGAGCCCCGCGTCGGGCTCTGTGCTGACAGCTCAGAGCCTGGAGCCTGCTTCCGATTCTGTGTCTCCCTCTCTCTCTGTCCCTCCCCTGCTGTCACTCTGTCTCTCTCTTTCAAAATAAATATTAAAAAAAAAATTTTTTAAGTGGAGTGTTTTTTGTAAGAGGGGAAGGCAGCAGGGCCACCGATCTGCAGGGACCAGCAAGCCCAAATCAGCGGGTCAGGGTCCGGGAGGGAGGCGGTCTGCTCACCACAGCTACAAGCTTGCTCCCTCCCCAGAGGTGAGCGGTTCTAGCCCACTGAGGCCAGAACATGGCTGACTTTGAGCAGTTCACACATGTACTTCTCGCCGCCTCCGACAGAAGGCCTGGGAAGTAAGAGGAAGGCCTGCCCATCAGAGAAAGTCATTGTCCTGTTTCCCGTTAAGCAGAACAAGATCGGATCCTTCCAACGTGCACAGCAATGTAGCCGTTCACAGTGGCTTCCTATGCAGCATCACCTTGTCAGGGACAAAGGTACTTTAAGTACTTTCAAGTTCCTGGTCGCCTGCTCATCTCCTTACACTCTGCTCGGCTCAGGATGCAAAGAAGCATGAGACTCCCAGCCACCCTTGACGGCACTGCACCAACTCCTTCCTCAGGCCAGACACCCACGCCAGGCCTCAGTGAGGACGCCTGCCCTAGGCTGCCCTCCTCCATGGACATCCTCCCCCTTCCACCAACACCAAGCGTGGGACACCGTTTGCACAGACGCCTCAGGTTTCTGACACCAGCATGAGGCCACCCTCGTATACAGAAGCCCCCCTCACCTCACTTAGGGGCCAAGCCTCTGTGCCAGGATGAACCCTTCAAGGGACTCCCTTCTCACAGCAGAAGCCTGACACCCCACACTGGGCTTCCCTTCTGCAAGGATACCTTCCTCACCGCACTTGGGTTCTGACACGCATGGGGCCACCCTCCCCCGTGGACGCCCCCCACACTCCCCACGGGCCCCAACCTCACAGTGGCCCACCCCGGTGTGAGCCTCCTCCTCATTGCTGCTCTGGGCCACCCCGTTCAGGTGCAGAGGTCTACCTTGCTCCACTTCACCTAATGGCTTCCAGACAGAATTTTCTGAAAAGGAAGGGAAAAGGAGTCCCATATCCCCCAGGATTACCGAATTCTCCAGTTCAGCAAGGTCCTTGCTGGGTCCCACCAGGGCTCCCTCGCCTCCGATCACATTTATGTGCCATTTTTGGTGGCCTGGAGCTCTTCGGGGGCCGAAGCCCAGTGGGTCCTGTCGGAAAATGTGAGCAAACACCTCTGCTCGCACTCTGCTTCTTCACACCATGCCCCGAAGTCTCCAAGCAGTGCAGCTTCGACTCCGAGTTTTAGTTCAGAGCCGGGCACTTCTGCGGGGCATCCTTGAGCGGCCTCCCTGGTGCGTCGCCCCCCCATCGGAGCTGGCGACAAATGCCATGATGCAGGTAGGATCCCCTCTTCCAAGATGAGAATGGGCACCACTAGCGCAGGCTGGCCGTGCCCTGATCCCTCTCCTCTTAAAATAAGTAACCCTCCCACGAGGCTCTTAGGCCCTGGAAAGAACAGACTTGTTGCCTGTTGCCACATGCTCTAGACATTTCTAAACCCCAGCCACGGGCACAGCGTGGGCTCACACTAGACTCGCTTTAATTATCTGAGCATTCTGTTCTTAGACTGTGTCTGTCTGCCCTCAACTTGCCCCAGGGACGGGGGGGTCCTTGTTTTGTTACGCAGCCATCGACTAAAACCCCTGCAACAGTGAGGGCTGACAAAGTCTCATGGCAGAGACAGACAAGGGCCCATCTGCCAAAATTCGTGTCCCACGTGCGACCTTCCGGAAAGTCTGGAGCTCTTTTCCCTCCCACTTCTCTTAGCCCCTAGCCAGCCCCGAGGAAGTCAGAATCTGCTTTCCCATTTTCCGATGAGTTAAGGAAGAATGAGATACAAGAACAGTTAAGCTTCCCACAACCAGGTAAGTCATCTCTGGAGACAGACTCGTCAGACCACGGCTGTGTCCGCACGGAAGGCTGGGAGACCCCCTTGCTGGGAAATGCACAGACGGGGACCAGACGGAGTCTTAGAGAAGCTGTCGATGGCCTGGATAACCCACCCCTGCTTTGCTTTTCACCTTCCTATTAAAGGTCTGGATTCCGTCGCGGAGAGGGCTGTCCGTGGAAGTGAAGCAATGACAAGAGAAGGCGCTGTCCCAGGTTACCTGAGGGCAGAGAGGGAGTGCTTGCTGCGGAGGAAGCAGGCCGGGCCCTTGCTGACACTGATGGTGTCGGAGAGCGTGGCCCAGCTTAGCCCGAGCTCGTGGACAGCAGCGCCCCCCACCAGGGACGACTTACCTCACTCAGGGACAGTCCTACTTGAGTCCAACCAGGGCCCCTCTGTCCCACGAGTGCCATGCCACAGCAGGCACTACAGTCCTGGCCCAGGGAGTGTAGGAAAGTGGGGGGCGAGGTGGGGAGCCTCTGTTCTCGGGCACCCATCTGTGGGATCCGGCAAAGTGTGGGCCGTCTTGGGCAGTAACGGCCAGTAGGGCGGAAGACACATTCCGTTGCGCCACCCCAGGGCCGTCCTACCTCTTACCACATCATTACCTAAGCCCACGCCACGCCGGTCAATAGAACTGTCTGCAGTGACGGCCGTGGCCCCCATTCGTGCTGTGCGGCACGATGGCCGTTTCGCCATCCGTGACAACTGAGCACCTGAACTGTGGCCACTGCGGCCGGGTAGAGTGCATCTCCATTTGTCTTTAATTCTAATTAACTGATATTCACATTGACATAGCCACGTGCGGCCAACGGCGACCGTAATGGGCAGCGAGCCCTGGACCATGCCCTGCTCTGCCGGATGCCGGCATCTCACTCAGGCTTCGCCAGCGGCGGCCTGAATTCCTTGGGGACGGGGGGGGGGGGGGGGGGGGGGGGGGGGGGGGGGGGGCGTTGCAAGGGCAGTCTGCGGAGGAGTGGGGGACACCTCTCCCTGTACTATGCTCTGCTCTGTGGGTACCAGACAGTGCTGCTTCTGCCTCTTTGAAAAACTGGCTCTTTGTGTTTCATTTTACAGCCCCTGACCTTCCCCTGGGCCTGGACGTCCTTGCAGGGTCTGGGACTGCGAAGCAGTTTCCAGAGATCTGTGGCTGGAGCTTCATCACTGGCTAGACCTCTCAGCCCCGATCCTCCCTGCTCCGCAGACAAACCCCCCCCTCAGGAGCCCCTCACCTCCCTACCATGACCCTGGTATTCACCACCTTCCTCCTTCAGGAAGCTCACTGACTCCTGAGAAGACACAGAAACTGTTAGCTTGGCGGAAGTAGAAACAAACTCGCCGAACAGATTAGGGCAGCAATGGAAGAGGCAGTTTCCTCTGGAGCCATGGTCCTCCAAGGAGCCCCAGCAGCGTCGGCCGGGAAGGTGGAAATACAGATCCTCGGCGCCCAGACAGTTGAATCAGAAATTCCAGGGGTGGAGCCCGGCAGTCTGTGTGTTAAGAAGCCCCGGGCACGCCGAAGCCCTCCCTAGTGTGAGAACAGAACTGCCGGGTGGTGGGTGGGGGCAGAGGGAAGAGAGCTGACTTCTCGGAAGAGCCTGGAAGAGCTTGCCCTGGGGCTGCAGGGAGGGACAGGGTGGCATGCCCAGACCCAGGACCCACGCCGCATCCCGCAACCGGTGTCCAAGCCCAGCAGACCTTCTCATGTATGTTAATCACCTTGAAACCACCATTTTAGTGATGTCAGATTGTTAAGGCTACGCGGCAAAGAATTCTTCAGAGTTAAGTAACTCTGCTTTCTGTTCTTAAAAATGTTCTTGGGGCACCTGGGTGGCTTAGTCCATTAAGCATCTGACTTCCGCTCAGGTCATGATCTTGCAGTTCGTGGGTTCAAGCCCCGCGTCGGGCTTTGTCTGACAGCTCAGAGCCTGGAGCCTGCTTCCGATTCTGTGTCTCCCCTCCTCTCTGCCCCTCCCCTCCTCACTCTCTGTCTCTCAAAATAAAAGACATAAAAATTTTTTCTTAAAATAACATAAAGCTTCTACTCAAAGATGGACAGCTGAGACACCACTTATTTAAAAACTCTTCTTGTCTTGGACATTTACCACCTTATCAATGTTATTTCCCCTGAAGTTCGTCTCCCTACCTTCGTCCTCTGAACCCCCACATATTTGCTGGCTTTGAGCAAGGACACTAGGTAATCAACTTTGTAAAACTGTCCAAAGTTAAGGGTGAAGCGCTAAGCAAGAGATTTTCTACGCGTGCTTTCATGCATGGATGCGGCTCTGAAATTTCATGGTTAATCAAAAAAGCACAGGTTTATGGTCAGGCAAATTAAGGTTCAATCCTAGCTCCACCTCTTACTAGCTTGCCATTAAACCCTAAGTCTGCCGTTTCTGGGCTATAACATGGGGCTAAGGATGTGTTGGGGGGGCGGGGTTGAGTGAAATAATCACGTGTGAAGTAGCTGGCACTTAATAAACACTTACTGTTTGTTCTAACTTCCTCGCCTTCTTTGTTGGAATGCAGAGCTCTCGGGCTCTGAACCAGACTGACCTGAACCCAGCGCAACCATTTACGGGGGGCGTGACCCTGGGTAAATTATTGAACTTCTCATGTCAGTATCCTCATCCTTAGGAGGGAGGGTGGAAAAGATAAGACCTCTCTCACAGAGTTGGGATTACAAATCTTGACACACTCTAAGTTCATGGAAGAGTGCCTGGAATACGGTAAGCACTCAACAGAGGGCAGCTGGTGGTGATGTTATTATTCCTCACAGTTCTCAACTCTTGTGGACAAGTGACATTGTTAGGGGCTGACCTACAGATAAGCCAGCCTTTCAGGGCAGCCACCAGCTTCCGAGCAACCCATAACTGGTTCCATGAAATAAAGACTCATGCTCCCTCCAGAACATTCTTAGCATTCCTTGATTTTTTTTTTTATTTTGTTCTGATGGGCTTTGATGGTTCTCTAGATGTATATCACACGACAGCCATTTTGCTACCAAGTCTTCGAAATGATTTGGAGAAAATATTTTTTTTAGGGAAAGGGAACCAGATCGACCAAATGCTTGATTCTCCCACTTTGTTCCCTAAACGATTTACCATGACAAAGCCCAAGACTCTAATTTTAGTCATCTGGTATTTTCTTTTTAGATTTTTATCTAAAAAATAAATAAATAAATAAACACAAAGTCAAGTCATTGAACTAAATAAACCCAGCTTTAGTTGATTGGTTTTGTAGGTATTGATACTGTTCTTCTGAAGGAAATCCTGCTTTTACAGTGCGGCAATGGCTATTTTGACAGAAAATTGAAGGCCATGAGATCGTTCCCATCCAGAGAACCTTGTATACTTCTCTTACCTGAGGTTGAAGTCCAAGAAGTTCTCCACAGAGGTGAATATTCTCCAGTAATAAGATTGTGTTCCCAGGAAGGGGAAGAATTTCAACCCCGCATGTCAGAATTCTAGAGCCTCTTGTCTCTTGTTCTATTACTTAATCCCAACTTTATCTATTTTCCCTCTCCACCAAAGCAAGTCCCCTAACTGGCCCGCTCATCTGTCACCTCTTCGTGGGGCACAGATGGTCACACTTCCAGATTCCTCCACTCTTGCGGGACCCTTCCCAGGACAAACCCCCCTGCCCAAAGCTGTTCTGCCCCAGGTATCTGCTCAACAGCACCTGACAGTCTTTGAGTTACACATTCGTAATACCCATAAAATAGCTTACTGATTTTTTTCCAAATAGAAATCTCTATTGGTGGTTCTCAACTCTGCCAGCACATTGCTAAATGCAGACACCAGGATCCATCAACACATCAATTGAACCAGATTCTCCAAGGGTAGGGTCCAAACATCAGTATTTTCCAAAGCTTCCAAAGTTTGGCGGGGGCTGAGACTCACTCCTCCAAATGGATGAAGCCTAAGTGAACACTAGTGGCTCAGAACTGGAAGTAGAATCCATGTCATATGATTCCCTTCCCTGAGGTATAACTGACATGGGATAAATTGCATTTATTTAAAGCATACAATTTGATGAGTTGGGACATATGTATACATGTGTGAAACCTTCACCAGAATAAAGATTATGAACACATCCACCCACATTTGTTTCCACGAGTATCCACATGCCCCTTTGTAATCATTGTCTCCTCCTTCACCTCACCCCAGAGTCTCTGGGCAATCACTGACCTGCTTTCTGTCAGTGATTTCTGTGGTTTTCTGTCACCATACATTAGTTTGCATGTCCTAGCATTTTATATAAATGGAATAAAGTAGGTGCTCTTCTTCTGACTCCTTTACTCAGCATGATTATTTGAAGTTCATCTGTGTCGTTAATGGGTATCAATAGTTCATTTTTAAAATTTCTATATATTATTCCATTGTATACCTATGCCACAATTTTTTTACCCAATCATTCTGTTGATGGAAATCTGAGTTGTTTCTGGTTCTTGGCTATTACAAATAAAGCTGTTATGAACATACCTGTGCAAGTATTTTTTTTTTATTTTTATTTATTTCTAGGAGAGAGAGAGAGACAGCATGAGCAGGGGAGGGTCAGAGAGAGAGGGAGACACAGACTCCGAAACAGCCTCCAGGCTCTGAGCTGGCTGTCAGCACAGAGCCCGACGCGGGGCTCGAACCCACGAACCGCGAGACCATGACCTAAGTGAAAGTCGGACGCTCAACCGACTAAGCCACCCAGCGCCCCATCCTGTGCAAGTATTTGTCTGAATGTGTGCTTCCATTTCTCTTAGCTGGGAATGGGAATAACTGGGATTACATGAGATGTGTTTAATTTTTAAAAATAAGCTGCCAAATGACTTGGTTTTTAAAATAAACTACCTTTTCCAAAGTAGTTGCACCCTTTTGTGTTCCCACCAGCAGTGCTTGAGCGTTCTCATTAATTGCCCTCCATCCTTGCCAATACTTGGCTTGGCCAATCTTTTTCATTTCAGCCACTCTAGTGGGAGACTCAAAGTATTTCACTATGATTTTATTTTGCATTTCTCCAACGACAAAAATGTAGAGCATTTTTTCCATGGGCTTACTTGCCACCCATTTACTTTCTTCGGTAAATGTCTATTCAAATCTTTTGTCCATTTTTCATTGTCTTCTTATTGGGTTTATAAGAGTTCTTTACATATTCCTATGTACATATATTCTTAATCATATATAAACACTGTAAAAATACTCTTTCAGTCTGCAGCTTACACTTGTGATTTTGTAGCAGTGGCTTTTTTGAATAGCCAAAGTTTTGATTTTGATGAGATCCGAGTTATTATTTGTTCATTTAATTTTTATGGTCCATGGTTTTTTGTCTCAGATTTAATAAATCTTTGCCAAACCTAAGATAGCTAAGATTTTCTTCTGTGTTTTCTTCTAAGAGTTCTGTACCTTTATCTGTTACGTTTAGGTCTCTGATTCAGCAGAAGTGAAAAAGCTGAGACTTGTATGTTTGAGTGACTTGGCCAAGGTGACATGGTGAGTCAGACCCCAAACTGGCCCCATGTCACATGACTCTTTCTCCTGAGTACTTACTTTTTATCTATTTTTGGACTTAGTGATAGAATTGAAGTTATCATATTTTTTAAAGTTTATTTATTTATTTTGAGAGAGAGAAAAAGTGCTAGTGGGGCAGGGGCAGAGAGAGAAAGACAGACAGACAGACAGACAGACAGACAAAGAAACTCAAGCAGGCCCCCAAACTATCAATACAGAGCCTGATGCTGGGCTCTAACCCATGAACTGTGAGATCATGACCTGAGCTGAAGTTGGATGCTTAACTGAATGAGCCAACCAGGCACCCCTGAGTTTATCATATTCTTAGTTCATATGCACCAGCAGTCCAAGACAAAACTCCTATTTTTAATCAGATTCTTATTATTTTTATAGCATTGGCTATTTCTTATTATCTCTGAGCCCAGTCTCATAATTTTATATTTTGCTCTAGGGTTTAGCCTCTAAATCCATTTCCAACACTTTTTTGCCAATTGGCTCCCTGACAGGTTCTGTCAATGGGATACACTGGTTGGAGATAAGAAGGTAGCAGGAACAAAAAAGCTCCCTTCCAGTTTTTCAGCTCTGGTCAGCCGCTCCCCCACCCCACCCCATCCCCAGCAACAAAGGAGAACCAGAGCTCTGGCTTCAGCTGCCCTCAGCACCCCCAACACCAGCCATCAGCGGGAACCGTGCCCCTACTCCAGAGCTCTGTGGACTATACCTGCACGCCAGTCACATGGGTCCTTCCTATGAACTCCTGGGTCTAGTAACACCATCTGTCCCCTTTTGCTCTACTATTCTTAGGCGTAATCATTTTCTCTGCAGTTACAATATCTCAGGGCTTCTGTTTTCATTTATTGGCCTTCCAATTCCTTGTGTAATCAGTCCCCTGTATTAAATCCTTTCTGTTTAAAACACCTAGAGTGGTTCCTGTTTTTGTGACTGGACACTGATTGACAGATCATCTCTACTTCTTGCTGCTACATAGCCACCTCGCCCAGTGTTCTTGGTATGTATCTTTGGACATGAATGAGCCCTAGTAAAATACAGAGTTGTTTTTCTGTTGTGATTTTAATTTATATGAATGCTATTGTGCTATATATCTCATTCTATTTCTTTTCTTTTGCCTGAAACCATTTTGCTAAGACCTATTCATGTTGGTGTTTTACTTCCAGTTCACCGTGTCTAATTATTGCATAATATTCCATGGTGTGCACCCACCTCATTTTATTGAACCATTCCCCTGGTGATGGTTTCTGAGATCATCCCCAACTCCCCACTGCTGCATACAACTTGGACTTGTGTGAGCATTTCTGGGGCATTTAGCCCTGGAGTGAGAGAGCTGGCCAGACATCA